GAAAGGTATGAGTTTATTTTTCTGAGTTATTGTGGACAATAATCTGATATGTAGCCTATGGTATTGTTGTGAAGTAAAGATTCATATATCTGATCATTGGATATACAGTATTTATATGCCTGCCTATATGCTAATTGAACGCCACTGATAGATACCCATGGATCACTATAACAAGTGGGGTTCTTCCAACTCTATTTTTTCATTACAGTTAGTCCAGTATATGCATAGTATTTATTATCCTGAGAGAGTTCTGTATATTAATGGTGAACCTAACATGGTAAATGTTATGCGGGAGGGAATGTATCTGGGTACAATTGTCAGGGCCGTCTTTAAGACAGGGCAAAAGGGGCAGGTGCCCTAGGCCCAGTCATTGTTGTGGGGCCCTGTACCCCATAAACTAGCGCTGAAGCAGTTTTTTCAGGGGACAAAATAATAATAATAATGACACCTGAGCATGTCCCCTGAGGATGACCGCGGACATCCCGTAATGTTCGGCGTTCAGCGAACGCTAGAACAGGCTATGTTCGAGTCGAACCTATGTTCGACTCGAACATGCAGCCCATCCCTAATCAGCAGGAGCTGATGGCAAAGCCACCCCTTATCAGTTAAGTGGGTTTGCAATAAAGATAACATGTTAATATACAGTGAGGGAAATGTATCAAAACTGGAGCAGACAAAATCTGGAGCAGCTGCAAATGGCAAATAAGCGATCAGCTTCTATCTTTCATTTTCAAATCTTAACGGAACAAACTAAAGCGAGAAGCTGATTGGTTACTATGGGCAGTTGCTCCAGTTTGTCCCACTAGTATGTTTTAGTCCTGAGCATAGTCAATAAAAAAATATATAAAGATGCACTGATACCGATGCTAGTATCCGTATCGGTGCCGATACCATGTATTTTGGGAAGTACTTGTACTCACCCAAATGCTCCGATACTTACCCATATACCTGAACTTCCAGTCAGTGGGAGATTCCCTCTGACCGGCAGTGCCGCGAGGGAGCATGGAGCCAGCTTCCTGGCCAATCAGGAATTGGCTAGGAAGCCGGCTTCACTTGTTGCTAGGCAGCCTGGCTTCCTGACCAATCAGAAAGCCGGGTGGCACGTCATGACCCACCTCCTGGCTTGCTGATTGGTCAGGAAGCCAGGCTGCCTCACAGTGTCGCAAGGGAACACGAAGCCAGTGCTCTTTCAATAGAACACCGGTTTCCCAGGCAATCGGCTTCCGGATAATGCGGACCCACGATACCTTGGGATGCCGGTATCGGTATTAGATATTAGAAAGTACCCAAAAAAATATATTGGTACTCTTACTCGTTACCGAAAAACTAGTATTGGTGCATCCCTAAGAGAAACCATTTCTTCTTAGTTTGTATATTTGTAGAAACCTCTTCGTATGCCATGACAGCTGTGGCAGGTGTAATTGCCAGAACACTGGTCTCAAAGTCAGAAAAAGTATTTTTCTTAAACATATAAGCAGGTAGGCAGATATAAAGGGCACACAAGAATGTAGTTCTGTATTCATGAAAATTCTATTAACGCTTTATTTAATGCAAACACTGCTCATAGCTGAATTTGACTTGGCATCAAGTCTTACAGTCTATGCAGCCTAGCTCAGAGAGAGAGAGGGAGAATCAGCACAAGGAGCCAATCAGGTGTGCTGCAGTGCAGGGAGCATGCTGATTGGAAGAGAGACCAGGGTGAAAGAGAAATGAGCTCATCAGTGTGCTTTTTTTTTTTTGACTGTCCAGTCACAGGGTGGAGGAGAGGAGGGGACCTGTAAATGAAAGCGAAACTGCGGCAAAGACAGATTAGTTCCTCATTCTCTGCTAGACAGAGCTGTACTCTGAGGCAGAGCTCTGTAAGAAATGCAAATCTTACAGCAGGTAAAACAGCTCCTATGTGTCTATATAATTTGCATCTTTAGCTGTTTGCTTGGAGTTTAGCTTCAAATAAATGTTGTTTCAGACTTCAACACAGCTCAGCCCAAGTTTTTTATTTGCATAGACAGTTGTTTTCTTCGTGCTCTGTTCATGGCACAATGAAGCCTTGAGGTTGGGTTGCAATGCGTTGTGTTAAAATAACCGCTGGTCACCATACCGCAGCTCAGCTACAGTGCATAGAAATGAAAGAAATTCCATTTTGTGACCTTTCTAGAAAAGAAAAGAAGGTAACCAGTGTACTTCCCCTCACCTCCAGTACACAATGGACACCGGCTCGCACTGGTTTTAGCATGCAGGATGGTGTGATTGAGCCCTTATTAACTCTTAGGGCATTCATATACAAACATTTGTATGTATTTTGTACACATGGGTAAAATCACAGGATATAATGTGTACTTTTTACCTGCATAAGCTCTAGTTGCTTTTAAATTATTATTAGCCAGGCGGGAATCCCCCCATGTTTAAAGGAGAACTATGAGGTGAGTGATTTTCACTCAACCTCATAGTTCGAGTCGACGTGTGACAATTAAACTGTCACATGTTGGCTCAATAGATCGGGAAGTGAGCGTACACATACCGTCGCTTGCTCACTTCTCGATCATCTCCCTGCAGAGAGTGGTGACTGTCACTCACGGCTCCCTGCAGGGATTCTCCCCTCCCCGCTCCAATCCTCCAGCGCTGAGTGAGGGAACAGACGGGGGAGGGGGCGGGTACAGCTGGCTTTGCCTCTAGATAGGCAGAGCCAGCTGTCACTCACGCAGCTGGGTGGAACTTGACAGTAATGTCGGGATCCGTCCCGGCTGCGGCGGTCTAAGTATATCGCGAGCTGCAGCTTGCGATAAACTGAGCTTTGGTGACGGGAGAACACTAGTATATATCCTCCCGTGACCCTTAGGAGAACTATGGGGAAAAACACTTACCCCATGCTTATGCTTACCTTATGCTTTAAAGTTCTCCTTTAAAGCATTCTTGTAGAACTGTATATATTTAGGCAATGATATCACATCCAATCAATTTTTGAATATTTCCTCACACACGAAGATGGCACATATATTAATTCACCTTTAAAGCTTAAGATTACCATACATGTAATATATTAAAGGAGAACTATGAGGTGAGTGCTTTTCACTCACCTCATAGTTCTAACCGACCTGTGACAATGAGACTGTCACATGTCGGCTCAGTAGATCGGGAGGTGAGCGAACACATACCGG